ACAAATTTACACTTTAAACATTAAAAAAAATCTCGCACTCCCGTATGCCCTGGTATACATATACAGTGAAACCTCTCTTGGGCGGACACTCACCGTCAGTCATTTTTTGTCCGCCCAAGAGAGGTGTCCGCTCAATGCAAGGGAAGCTTATTTTAGAACTTTTTAATATTTTAATTAATTGAATAGTCACTATTTCTTATTTGAATAAAAGATATTGATATTACATCGTTCAAACAAAAATGTGCATGTATTTTTTCAAAAGTGCATATTTCATTTATGTGCGTAAGTACATATTAAGCAATAACAAAATAAAAATAAATATTACATTTCAGTCCATAAACTACATAAAACCATAGATTCATTACATAAAAAACTGGGGAATTGTCGATTGACGTAAGTTTTATTTTTAATTTTTTTCAGTGTCAGTACCTTTTTCATCAATAGTTTTCACGTTTTTATCAGTAACAAAATCCAACCATGAATCTAAACTTTCGGTCCATGTATTTATTATTAAATTCATCAGAATTGGAATTGGATTCTCCAAGGGTTTCTGATAATTCAAATAACGAACCTAAACCACTGCGCAAACCAAACTAAATGTGTGCATAAAAATTTAGTAGTCCGCCTACGAGGAGTTCGCGTCCGCTCAATGGAGGTTTTTGTTTGATTTGTTATGAAAAGAAATCTTAATATCCGTTGATAAGAGGTTCGCGTCCGCTCAATAGAGGTTTTTGTGTCAATTTTATGCAAAATAACTGTCCGCGTCCGGCCAAGAGAGTGTCCGCTTAAGAGAGAGTAATTTGTTGCGAAATTTATACTTAAAACTTGGTATAGGAAAAAAGTCCGCCCAAGGGAGATGTCCGTCTAATAGAGGTGTCCGTTAGGAGAGGTTTCATTGTAAACACAATTCGTATGAAAGTGCCTGAGTTTCATATGGAAGGGCAAAGCAAACGCCCTCACATGATACAAAAAAAGAAGGTAGTTACTACTATTTTTTGATTATAAAGCAGATATTTGACTTTTCTCCAAATGAAAACATTAAGCATAGCTTTGCCACATTGTAATTTTTTGGGCATGGAGATTTTTTGTTAATATATTTGAGATTTATTAGAAGAGAATAATGTACAGGGTGATGTATGATGTATTTTGGAACGAATCTCCGTCATCCCTTGTCAAATTTGGTTTGGTGGCAAACCGGTTTCGGCGTTGTGCCATCTTCAGTGTCATTTTTCGTTCTGCTGTTAAATATCCTTTGAGGAATATCAATCTACAGAGATGAAAAAATAAAATAAAATAATTCAGTTTTGACAACTTTATTTATTAAAATGGTTAATACGGTAATAAATAATGCTTTGTGTTCCTAAGTCTAAGTTTTATTCCAAACGAACAAATTTACAAGACATGAAACAAAGCATTAATTTAGATTATAATTTTCTTCACATTTTTGCATATATGTATTTAAATTTTTGCACTCCTTTATTTTTCTGATCAAGTATCTTATTCTAAAATAAAGGTTCTCCCAAAAAAGAATACTTTCGGATTTTTTCTAATTTTACTTTGGTATTGATTAGCAAATTGTAAATTTATAATTTGGAGCAATAATTAGCAAATGTTCATTCCTTTTGATCAAAATTGTCTTGGTTCCCTCAAACATTTCAAACACTGTAAAGAGGAATTTTAGCATTCAACTTAGGTGGCTGATTTTGACACGCTGTGAGTCGGAGGTTTGTGCCGCTGAACCATATCTGACAGCAGGTTGGCGCTCCTCGTACCGAAATTTCAAGAGCTCACCGTGAGCAATGAGGTAGCATATATTGCCTCCACAAAGCGAACTGCTCGGGGACCCGTAGCACCTGGGCCCTCCATTGCTCTGCGATGAAGTTCGATTAGGTGTAACTGGATATACGAAAAGTAAATTACATGCTAAATCGATTATCAGCATGAAGAACCAATCCGATCCGTCTTCTTACAAGGTACGAAGTAAATTAAAGACTTACTTGGGCGTAAATTTGACTCCAATCTAACGTTTGCGAAGCACATCGATTTTATTGTGTCCAAATCCTTTGCAATGATTCATTGGAATTGGCTTTGGCCAAAGTTAGACCATTGGCAAAAGATTTGACTGTGTTAAGGAACCTGTCCAGCAACAAAACATTAAAGGATAATAATCATACCTTTATTTTAAGTAAATTACTGTTTATCAGACTAACAAAAGTAAGCAGAAAAGAACGTTTCCAGTTGAGAAAATTATCGAGGGACAACCAGCAGTTTACCAAAACTACCGAAATGGATGTGAAGACACCCAAAGTTTTAATTTATTGCATACTTTTTTTAATTGGAAATTGATTATGAATAAATACATAAGTAGGAAGAAACTTACAATGAAACTTTGGAATATGGGAGGGGCTTGGGCCCTCTCCCCCTCTTAGCCCGTACCTGCGTACGCCCATGTTAGACACTGCTCAGATACATATAAGAACGAGTGTTGATGAAAATATGTGCCTAGTCAAGTTAATCGGGTTGCGTAAGTTGGTGCATATGCATATGTGTGTGTAAGTATCAGTTTATTACAATGACGTCATTTGATCAGCAAAGTATTTATGTATTTACATACTCCGCGTTATGATAACAAGTAAACCCACACACTGCTTGCGACTAAGTGACTCATGGACTTCTACAGTTAGTTATGGTCGTAATAAATTCTCAAGTTTGTATATTATTATGTCAAAAAAAAACATGAGAAAAATTAAGGCAAGTATATATTACTGTTTTCAGCTCTATCTTTGATTAAAAACATATTGTACTGTTTTAACATATCTTTCACACAACAACTATGTATATTACATACATACAAACGTTTCCATATTTTTTTATTTTCATCACATATATATTTTCTGTGTTTCCGTGGGATACGGATCCTGATAAAAAAAAATTTGCACACAAATGCAACAACAACGGTATGATCCTGACAGAGTCTGGTTCAATTTATGATCCGCTCTTTTTAGTTTGTGTCACTGATAATATATCAGTACGGTTTGGTATACACAATGGTGAATGTATACACAAACATATCTATATATTTTGTCATTGCTTCTTTTCGCTTGCTTCAAATAAATATCCTTTACGCTAAATATTTGTTTAAGTGAATATTATTTCGCTTAAATGTACTTTTCCCCATTTAGTGAGTTCATTTTTATAATTTCGTCTTCCTCGTGCTTGNGAAAAACGAAAAATCCGCATGCTGCAACCCTTGCGGAAACATGTGCAGCATTGCCAGCTATCAATTATTTTTCGAAGTAAATTTCGAAGAAAAACAAAGTGAAAAGCAGAGCTGGGCACTTTATGATTACGACTAAATTTTGATTACTTAGGATTACGATTACTGTAATAGTAATCCTGAAAATTTTCAGCATTACGATTACTGTAATTGTAAATATAACACGCTTGATTGCGAATACTTTAATTGTAATCCATAAAATTTAACGATTACGACTACTACCACGTAGTTCCTAAAAATTTTAAGTTTACAATTCCCGTAATTGTAATCATGAAAATTAGGATTGCGATTACAATAGTAAGTTTCCCTACATATGCAACACGATAAGTATTACGATACTATCGAAAATATCGATAGTATTTTTTAAACTATCGAAACTATCGAATGGCGCCACTATCGATAGTTTTGCGCAATGGTAGCGTGCACGGCTAACCACAACACCACAGAGGCCGCTGTGTAACTTATTTTCTTCACTATTTACAGGTTTTTACAGGAAGCTGTTCCAGGTGACCACCTTCCCTGCAAATCATTTAAAACCTGCAAATCCTGAAGCATGTGCAACGCAACTCATGGGTACGGTTTCGTTATTTGTACAACGATTTCGGGTTGCTGTGTCCAAACGCGTGACCTGCACCAAAAGAAATTTTACACAGAGTTGTAGACAATTTACCGTTATTCAGCTTAAAAAAGTAGTGGTTCCCCTTAATCACATATATCGTTCGAACCAATTTAACAATCTTAATACGAAACACGGCAAATGAAAGCTAATAAAATTCTCCATAGAACATATATATGTACATCACTTTCCGCTAGGGAAATCATTACAGTTTTTTTTATTTTTATGAAAAAATTAAAAAAATGCAACTTCAACAGAAGAATAATTTAAAAACTAACAGGTTCTGTGCCAAATTTTTGCAATTGTGCTAAAGCCTGTTCGGTTATAAAAAAAATCAAGTTACTAATGAAAGAAAGCGAGGTGAAATAAATAAATAATTAAAGGGGTAGTTAAATGTTCCCTCCACAATTTAAGCACGCTCCGAGCATTGGTCACCAGGTTGCCGTGTATGATCTTACAGAAATTCGCTCTCATCTTGAAACGTAATCGGGAGTTTGTTTTTCTACGCAAAAAGGAATGAAGTGAAGACATCTATTAGGTCATATAAAATTTATAATTTTTTTATATTGAAAGAGTGGTCATGGCGGTTATATTATTTCAAGAGACTTTCTTCGAGATATTGAATGGATTTTTTTATTTTTAGTTATATTGCTACAAATAAATAGAAAATACACGCAATGAATCACTAAGTACACACCAAGTTGCATCATGGGGATAAATTTGATTACGTATGTAGAAGAAAATAACAAACAAAAAAAAATAACGACTGCAGCCATCCAATGTCTTTAATCTTATCTTGATGAAAAATTTAAATATGTTTCTATTTTTTATACATAGGCTGAGAAACAAGCCAAAGCCATCAGCCGCCTAACTGCAGCATCATAAATTCTGCAGTTCATCAACACATCCGCTACTACTTATTAGTTTAGCTATCGGTGTTATCTTGACAAGTGTTTGCTCTAATTCGCCAAAACGGTTTACTCGTAAGTTTTCTGGTCTTATCTTGACAGTGAATCTGAATGAAGTGTGCCAAGATAAAATTTTCGCATAAAAGGCCAAGACTGTCGCAGCCACTTATTAGTAACGAATAAATTTTCGAAAACAACGATGACTACGACAAAATTCACTAGATTAGCCTTGCTGCTACTGGTAATACTTTTTAAAAATTTGCAAATTAAAACGTGTTTAAAAGAGTTTCAAAATGATCATTATGGAATAGAGTTTATTCAAACACTTAATCAATGCATTAATTAAAAAAAATATCGATTTTCTGAGAGTATTCAAGAACAAAATTATCAGGAAAAATTTTGCAAGTGTTGTGGGAAACTTATGAACAGATGAATTAAATAAAAATAAATTTATCCAAACTAGAAAAAGTAATACATATGTATACAAAAACTAATGTGGTTTCCTTTTTCTTTCGTAGTTCGCTTCTGCAGCTACAGCGCAACTGGCTCAAGGCATCAACTGCTACGGTAAAGCATACGTCTGCGTTGGTCCCCTCAACTACAAAGGCTGCGCAGGAGATGCTCAAGGTAATAGCTTTGCTACCGGTAACGCCATCCAGTGTCCACCCAATCACCGCTGCGTAAACGATGGCGTAGAAATTTGCATTCCACTTAAGTCGACCACGGCGGAACCTCAAGCAGTTCCTTTGATCAATACACAGCCAAGAGCTTTCAATTCACCTTCAACAGAAGCACCATTTCAGTCAACTTCTTTAAGTTCCGATTCTACGAACTTAATAACCACTTCTACTTCACAACCAGCAGCTTCATCCTCTGCTCCAATTCAAGAAAAGCCAAGTATTCCTGCGGACGCAACCACCGCTGCTGGTGGGCCAATATGGACTACATATTCAACTGAGGATGCCATTATTTGGGATACCACAACAGATGGTATAACGACAGAAACAGATGTAAACACGCTTGAGCCGCAATCATCAGCTGTTCCAAACAGGCTATTATACTCCACTGTACTCCCGGAGGAAACGACAACTGTTCCAGCAGAAACAACTTCTTTTCCAAGCGAAGCCACAGACGCCACTGACGCCACCACCATCTTGGACACTGATGAGACATTGATAGCGACAATTACAGCTGATCCCAGTACTCTAGACGATGTTAACACTATCTATGTGACAAGTTCACTTAAAGAATCAACTTTAATTTCCGTCGAAACCACAACTGAAATTCCAGTTTCAGAAACAACCATTTGGGAAACTACTACAGGACTGGGCGATGCCACTATTCCCACAGGCGTTTATGATCCACCTTTCACTAGCAACGAGCTTAGTCCTACTGAGAATGGAATACAGGGCCCGAATACACCAGCCGATACCACGTCGCCTGTCGATCCGAGTACGCCAGTGAACCCGAATGGATCGCTTGGTCCCAATGAACCAGTAGACCCTGCGTCGCCCGCAGATCCAGATATTCCAGTAAACCCGAATGGATCAACTGGCCCCAATGCACCAGTAGATCCCGCGTCGCCCGTAGATCCGAGTGCTCAAGGAAACCCGAATGGATCAGTTGGCCCTAACGCCTTAGTAGACCCTGTGTCGCCTGTAGACCCTAGTGCTCCGGTGAACCCGAATGAATCAGTTGGCCCCAATGCGCCTGTAGAGCCCACGTCGCCTATAGATCCTGCTGGTCCAGTGAACCCGAATGGATCAGTGAGCCCCAATGCACCAGTAGGCAACGAGTCGCCTGTAGATCCGAGTGGTCCAGTAAAACCGAATGGATCAGTTGGCCCCAGTGCACCAGTAGATCCCACTTCGCCCCTAGATCCTAGTGCTCCGGTGAACCCGAATGGATCTGTGGGCCCCAATGCACCAGTAGACCCCGCGTCACCTGTAGATCCTAGTGCTCCAGTGAACCCTAATGAATTAGTTGGACCCAGTGCACCAGTAGACCCCGCCTCACCTGTATATCCTAGTGCTCCAGTAAACCAGAATGAATCAGTTGGCCATAATGCACCAGTAGACCCCGCGTCGCCCGTAGATCCGAATGCTCCAGTGAACCCGAAAGGATCAGTTGGCCCCAATGTACCAGTAGATCTCGCGTCGCCTGTAGACCCTAGCGCTTCAGTGAACCCGAATGGCTCAGTGAGCCTCAATGCACCAGTAGACCCCGCGTCGCCTGTAGATCCTAGTGCTTCAGTAAACCCGAATGGATCAGTGGGTCCCAATGCACCAGTGGATCCCACGTCGCCCGTAGATCCGAGTGCTCCCGTGAGCCCGAATGGATCAGTGGGCCCCAATGCACCGGTAGACCCCGCTTCACCTGTAGATCCTAGTGCTCCAGTGAACCCTAATGAATTAGTTGGACCCAGTGCACCAGTAGACCCCGCCTCACCTGTATATCCTAGTGCTCCAGTAAACCAGAATGAATCAGTTGGCCATAATGCACCAGTAGACCCCGCGTCGCCCGTAGATCCGAATGCTCCAGTGAACCCGAAAGGATCAGTTGGCCCCAATGTACCAGTAGATCTCGCGTCGCCTGTAGACCCTAGCGCTTCAGTGAACCCGAATGGCTCAGTGAGCCTCAATGCACCAGTAGACCCCGCGTCGCCTGTAGATCCTAGTGCTTCAGTAAACCCGAATGGATCAGTGGGTCCCAATGCACCAGTGGATCCCACGTCGCCCGTAGATCCGAGTGCTCCCGTGAGCCCGAATGGATCAGTGGGCCCCAATGCACCAGTAGACCCCGCGTCGCCTTTAGATCCTAGTGCTTCAGTGAACCCGAATGGATCAGTGAGCCTCAATGCACCAGTAGACCCCGCGTCGCCTTTAGATCCTAGTGCTTCAGTGAACGCAAATGGATCAGTGGGTCCCAATGCACCAGTGGTTCCCACGTCGCCCGAAGATCCGAGTGCACCCGTGAGCCCGAATGGATCAGTGAGCCTCAATGCACCAGTAGACCCCGCGTCGCCTTTAGATCCTAGTGCTTCAGTGAACGCAAATGGATCAGTGGGTCCCAATGCACCAGTGGTTCCCACGTCGCCCGAAGATCCGAGTGCACCCGTGAGCCCGAATGGATCAGTGGGCCCCAATGCACCGGTAGACCCCGCTTCACCTGTAGATCCTAGTGCTCCAGTGAACCCTAATGAATTAGTTGGACCCAGTGCACCAGTAGACCCCGCGTCGCCCGTAGATCCGAGTGCTCCCGTGAGCCCGAATGGATCAGTGAGCCTCAATGTACCAGTAGACCCCGCGTCGCCCGTAGATCCGAGTGCTCCCGTGAGCCCGAATGGATCAGTGAGCCTCAATGTACCAGTAGACCCCGCGTCGCCCGTAGATCCGAGTGCTCCCGTGAGCCCGAATGGATCAGTGAGCCTCAATGTACCAGTAGACCCCGCGTCGCCCGTAGATCCGAGTGCTCCCGTGAGCCCGAATGGATCAGTGAGCCTCAATGTACCAGTAGACCCCGCGTCGCCCGTAGATCCGAGTGCTCCCGTGAGCCCGAATGGATCAGTGAGCCTCAATGTACCAGTAGACCCCGCGTTGCCTGTAGATCCTAGTGCTTCAGTGAACCCGAATGGATCAGTTGGCCCCAATGCACCAGTGGATCCCACGTCGCCCGTAGATCCGAGTGCTCCCGTGAGCCCGAATGGGTCAGCGAGCCTCAATGCACCAGTAGACCCCGCGTTGCCTGTAGATCCTAGTGCTTCAGTGAACCCGAATGGATCAGTGAGCCTCAATGTAACAGTAGACCCCGCGTCGCCTTTAGATCCTAGTGCTTCAGTGAACGCAAATGCATCAGTGGGCCCCAATGTACCAGCAGATCCCGCGTCGCCTGTAGATCCTAGTGCTTCAGTGAATCCGTATGGATCAGTGAGCCTCAATGCACCAGTAGACCCCGCGTCACCCGTAGATCCTAGTGTACCAGTGAACCCGAATGGATCAGTTGGCCCCACTGCACCAGTGGATTCCACGTCGCCCGTAGATCCGAGTGCTCCAGTAAACCCGAATGGATCAGTGGGCCCCAATGCACCAGTAGACCCCGCGTCGCCTGTAGATCCTAGTGCTTCAGTAAACCCGAATGGATCAGTTGGCCCCAATGCACCAGTAGACCCCGCGTCGCCTGTAGATCCTAGTGCTCCAGTGAATCCGAGTGCTCCAGTTGGCCCCAAAGCACCAGTAGACCAGGCGTCGCCTCTGCCAGTCGGTCCAAATGGAACTGTTCACCCTAAGCCACCAATTGATTCAAATGCGCCAGTGAATGGCATTGTTGGGGCGCCTACACCCGCTATAAGCTCGAGTAGGCCAGTTGTTCCAGACACACCAGTCAATCCCAATTCACAAGCGCATGCCAACAGGCCATTTAATCCCAATGCTTCAGTCGGCCCCAGCGCTCCATTTAATCCCAATGCCCCAGTTTCTTCGAACGCACCAGTCCATTCACATGTAAAAAATATTCCAATGCTTCCGAGGTTACCTGAACATGCTGACCGTTCCGTTTGGTCACATTTTGCCGCTCATAATTATGCTGATAACTCCAGTGGTAGAAGAGATGAAAGTTGGTGGCGACGTGTTTTCGCTAATTTACCAGGCCATGCCAATCTACCAAAAGGAGGAAACGAAAGACATAATGGATGGCAGCTTTTGCCCAACCGCCAAGTGCAACCTGTTCGGCCTGGTTGGCCTGTGTGGCCTGCCAAATCTCACCCGTCAAACCAGGAGTCAGGAGATAGCCAGTCCACTGAATTAGGCTCTGACAAAAATTTGCCGAAAGCAGGCGAATCCATGGAAGAAAAGCCCAAGTCCAATAGTAGAGGAATAAAATCAAAGGACAACAAAGATCCTAAGGAACAAAAAGAGGAGAGTTCGGGTGAAAACAAATCAATAAGTACCAAAATAGAATCAGAGGACAGCAAGGATTCAAAAGAAAAAAATGAGCAGACTTCGACGGAAAAGAAATCGGAGAAGGGCAAAAAAGATTTAGAGGAGAGTAAAGATTCTGAAGATGTAAAGGAAAAGTCCGATAGCAACCAAGATGAGGAAAACGACGATAGCAACTCCAAAGAGCAAAAGGAACTAATTAAAAAAGTCTTGAAGAAGCTTAAGGACAACAAATGTGACGAAGATGACATTTACCCAGATCCCAGAGATTGTAACAAGTTCTATCTATGTGTCGAAAAGTCGGATAAGACTAAGCTCACGCATCTACGGTGCGATAGTGAGGAACGGTTTGACTCCGAAAAGCTGAAATGTGTAAATAAGCATAAGGCAAAGTGCTTGACTAAGCAAGAATTTATCGAAGAGTTTGCGTGATTCCAAACTTTTGAAGTTGCAAAATGGGGAGATAAAAGCCCTCAACAAATAATTATAAGAAAGATAAATAATCGGGTTTTTTTCAAAACCTTTAAACTTGCATTAGGAAAGCGAAGTTGTGCAGTCCTATTTGTTTACCCATGCATGTAGATGTGAGAATTTCACAAACTGCAGTCGTAAAGGCTTGCCAGATAAAGATTTTAAATACAAACTCAGTCGAGCCGATGATTTAATTTTCGCTTATTTACTAAAATACTGTCACATCTCAAAAACGCTTATTTTCAGGAGAGTCATTTAAGGTTTTCGATTGAGACTATCATGCAAAAATGGAAATGCATATTTGCTTCATACGCGGAAAATAGTCAAGAGTTCTATCACTAAATTGTTACAGTATGTACATATATGAATCTTAATATAAGAAGTTATTCTGCATAATTTGTTCAAACCCCGTTTCTTGTGTTATGGCAGTCTTTTAGTAAATCAGCGTCTTGTTTTGTTTATTTTTATTACTATTACTAATTTTATATTATGTGGTACGTTTTTTTTTTGTCATGCGTGCAGATGCTTAGCAATACCGTCCGAATTTAAGGATGTCATTTGCTCGGGGTGGGACACCACCTGCGTCAATATCAGGCGCATGCAGAGTGAAAGCGGGGAAATTAACGTTTGAACCTATTTAAAATATTTTTCGTTCTCGCATTATTAAGTAGTTTTTACTGTCAACCACAATGTCACTTGTGCTTCCTTTTTCGTCAAATTTGGCGGCAGTCATACACATGTATGTACATTAGGGTAATCCAAAAATACACGTGGAAAAGTAAAGTCGGAATTTTTATGCTCTCACCCCCTAGGATTGTTCTATACCGAAAAAAATTTATCCCAATTTTTTTATTTCAAAATTAAAAAATATTTAGAGGTCGCTCAAAGCGGCCAAAGTTTTCCATGTATAGAATTCTTAAAAATAAATATTTTTCTATGAGAGAACTCAATTTGTCTGCAGCAGATTCCCAATAATAATACTCAAATTTTTATTTAACCATTTTTTCATCGCAACTTTAATTTATAGGTCCGCCAATAACCCACAAAAACCCCGAAAAATTCAATGGGTGAACCAATAAAAAATCGTTAGTATAAAAAATGGTTAAATCAACAATTGGGTCTTATTACTGAAAGTCTCCTGTAGGGAATAAGAGTTTTCCGATCGAAAAATATTGGTTTTCAAGAATTCTATACCATTTCAACGAAAAGTGGTTTTTTCCCCATATAAAAATACATGGAAAACTTTGAGCGCTTTGAGCGGCCTCTAAATATTTTTTGATTTCAAAATAAAAAAATAGGGGTATACTTTTTTTCGATATAGAACAATCCTAGGGGGTGAGAGCATTACAATTCCGAGTTTACTGTTTTGGGCCACCCTAATGTACATACAAACATACATACATACATCCTGCGTAAGTTTGTGTGTGCCGACGACGCCTGAAACAGCTTTAATTGCAATGCAACATTGTACTATTTGCGCGGTAAATTTGCTCTTGCCATTCTGGGACGATGTGAATTAATGCCTGATTTTCATAAGGCTTTTTTGCTATTCGTTGCCATGTATTGCATGTACGTACCAAAAGCGGCAATGATGGGCAGTTGGGAGCCGATATGTTTGGTCATTTAAAGGTTTGTTTGGCCTTTTACCTTTTGCACCAATCGCTGTTTTCGCTATCTTTACTGCGGATGTGGACACCGGGACTGGTTGTTTGTTTGTAGTTGCAGCTTTGTCTGCGGTTTGCCTGTTTCACCAATGCAATGTTCGTTTGTCTGTTTTTGATGTGACCACTGATTGTGGTTTTTCTGCTTTTGAACATAAATCTCTTCATAAATGCAGTGAAATTGCAGCCAGGAGAATTAAACAAAACAAAAATATCGTCATCAAAAGAATGTTTCTCGAGCAGCCTGTAGGTGCTAGTTTACACGTGGAAGTATTAATTTAGCCAATTTGTATGTACATACATATGTGTGTATTTTCGTGGGTCCATTAATGACTTACATAGTTATAGCCAATTTATTTTTATTTAGCTGAAAAAAATTATATTGAAATTGCATATCTTTAACTGAGCTTCTAGGGCTGTCATAATCCTGAACCCATCGACCAGGATATACATATGTATTTGCATGGGTTTTTTGACATATTTTTATTTAAAATATATTGAGACGATATGAATGAATAGTCGACCCGCGAAGCAAATTAACGGCAAGCTGGCTTTGAACCATGTACACCACTTCGAGGTGTAATTAAGAAAGCATCGAATAAAAATGCGAAAACCCTTTTTGAAATTGTATGTATGTACGTATGTATAAATACTTTCAAGAGCGTTGTATCCACCGTCGTTTAGTACAGGAAAAGCGTCGATTATACAACGATTATACGACTTTTTTTTGGTTTTGAGCAGATGGTTTTCGTAAGAAAGAGAAAAGTCAGATTTCTTGATTTTTTTCCAACATAAATCTTAACGAATTGCATAGATGGTGAGCTAAATTGACGGTTTTTTGCAAAAGATCATCTACATTTTACATTAAACGTAATAATTAACCTTTAGAATCGTATGAGAGGAACCGGCCTCTAATTTTTCTCACTTATATGTAAACATTCGCCGTCATCGAGTAGTTAGCGAGTAGCAAAACGACCGAAATCAATGAGGTATGTATATCCAAACTAACTCGCCATCGTTCATCGCTACTAGCTAACGTTGTTGTTGCCTTCACATAAAAAAAATCTGGTAAAGCGAGCGGAACTGAAACATAGCGAGCAGAGAAGTGGCGACTCGAAGGCGACTATTAATATACAGACGTGTGTAACCAGGCGTGTGTAAAATCTGACAACCTGTGGTAACGGTTTTTATGCCATACCAGCACTTTAATTTTTAATTGATTTTGCTTGAATCGTTGCCTATTTCATTGTGGTGTCTTTTTTTTTTAGATCGAGCTTTAGTTTACGACGTCGATGAGACGATAAGGCAAAAATAATCTGTGGAGTAATTTCCGCCAGAACGGATATTTAAATGTCATTTTGTTTTCCATCCGCAGATAGCACCCAAACATCAAGCACTCTACATTTGCTTGTTCGCAGCGGATTGCTGGCAAAACGACTTTGCTAACGGTTTGGTTGCGTCTGTATGCGCTTGTGACTGTGACTGTGACTGTAAGTGACAGTTTTCTTATCTGGAAAGGCACAGAGAAAGCAGTGACAGTGAAATAATGAACGCGGCTTTGAAACTTGAACTTGAAAGGGACGTTTTTCACAAGAAAATTTTTTCAAAACGAAGAGTTCGTTCCGCTACTGAGCTCGTGCTGTAATTCATTGTTAAACATTTGCTTCCTGTGTCTTCATGTTGTCCTTAAGTATGATATGTATTTCCTAAATATTTCACTTAAGGTAAAACTAGGCAAAAGGTGAACTTAATACTTAAAACATTTTACTAAAATAGATATTGGATAGATTGGATATATGTATGTACAGTAGGGTGGTCCAAAAATTCACAACTTTTTGGATAATCTTATCTCATACATACATATCATATCACATCATATGTGTATCATATCGTAGGCGCGAACAACTCAACAAATTTGTTTAACTTTCTTTGTAACGATTTTATAGCAATTTTACGATGAAATATATTTGCCTAATATAAAATACCTAGGAAACTTTAAAGATTTGACGACACCAATGAATAATAACCAATTTCGAAGTAATATATATAGATATGGGTCTCGTTATTTTCGATATTCTTCTTTTCCGTGAGTGGCTGGAAGACAAAAAATTGTAACCTCCCTAATGTATTTATGTATCTAAATATATGGGCGGTATTCACGTTACAAGCAATTGGATGATAACCAATGCGTTCGCCTCCATGGTGCACATATTTTCCAACACTTTCCATTGCCGACCAAAATTATTGCTACATTGCGTGGCATTTGTAGAAATGGGATAAGGTTTTCTTCGATCTTCGACTTTCCCTGAATAAGAATCTTTTATCTAAAAGGATCCTACCTGTCCTCTATTTCTGAAATTCTTCTTTAATGACTCGAGAGATTTTGCTTATACCAATATTAGATAATTCTCTTTGAATCTGACAATTGGTGTTCTGTGTTTTCCAAAATGGATTCCGAGTGAATGTAAGTAAATTAAATTCTTAAATTTTGTAAAGAAAATAAATTTAAAAATATATTTAATTATAATTTATTCGTGAGAATGGTATCACTGATTTCGAGTTATTTTATTGTGATTTATTTTATTGTGATTTATTTTATTTTGATTTAGAATTATTAAACTAACACATAAAAACAAACAAAAACCAAGTCAGCGTGGTGAGTCAGCGCGTCGGAATTGCTGATAGCATTTCTCCCGAATTCGTGACGGGAGATTTTTTCACGACGGGAGTTCACTCGGAATCTGTGATAGGTCTGTTAAAAACCGAACTGAACCGAAAAAAGGATCGCGAATACCAAAAAATATCGAAGTTTTAAACACTTTTCTAAGTAAAAAAATGTTAAAAAATCATATAACATCTTTATACTTTCAATTAGAAAATGTTTAAAAATTACCCAAAAGCTTTTGTTTTGAAGTGCTTGCTAGATCACATTTGAAGTATTCAAAACCGGGTAAATTTAATTTACAAATATTTACAAATAGGAAGAGATCATAAAAGCAAAGCAATAAGATTTTTGTTTCCTTTTCGCATTTGATTTTAAAATACTTGAAAGTACGAGTGTTATCGATACTTTTTTGCAAATATGAGTACTGGCATCGATTCTTCTTTAAAGTATTCTATATGAGTACTAGTATCGATACTTTTCTACAAAGCTCTATGACTACGCACCACCTTTTCTGTATGGTATTGAAGAGAGCGAGCTAAATATCTAAACCGGCTTTTTAAAACTCCAATAAAGCTCTCCGCAACCTTGCGCGCCGAAGAATGCTGTTGGTTAAAGTATATTGTACCACAGTATAGACAGTAACCAACCTT